TACCTATGTAGTCCATACTTGGGCCCAAAAGCTACTATATAGGAACCCCATTAAGGCCCAAATAAATACTATATATGTATATATATATATATGTATAGAAAGGTGATGGGATGTCAAGAAGCACATCCTAAACCCTATATAAACCCTAAACGCGAAACCCCAGAAAAAGGTCGCACCATGCAATGCGCAGGCGATCCTCGTGCCCAACAACTCCTGGGGCGGCGATGGTTGCATCGGCTGCGACATAGGCAGGGGGTTGTGGGGTTTAGGGTTCAGGGTTCAGGGTTCAGGGTTTAGGGTTCAGGATTCAGGGTTCAGGGTTCAGGGTTTAGGTTTAGGATCCTGGGCCGGGATGTGCAGATCTCTGGCCGGTCTCCAGAACTTTCCGCATTATCGGCACAGCAAATCCGGGCGCAAAACCCTTAAAACCCTTGAACCCCTTAGAGCCCTTAACGCCCTTAAAGCTCTATACCCTATACCCTATCCCTATAATCAACCTTATGAAGGGCCGTTTTAAGACTCTGAACAAAAGGTACTGGCCTGCTCCACCGCATCCCCGCCCCGCGGCGGCCGCCCGGGGGCCCCTGCGCGCCGCCTCCTGCGCCGGGGGCTCAGGGTCATAGTTTGGGGTTAATGGTGGACAGTTGAGGGTTTAGGGTTTAGGGTTTAGGGTTTAGGGTAGGCTTCTGGGGTTTGCAGGGCTTTCCTTTCGAAACCATCGCGCGCAGGGGTTTGGGGATGCTTGGCGTCGGCAGGGCGAAGGCAAAAGGCTTGGGGCTTCGGGACGTTTGAGGGTGTGGGCGCAGTGCGGGTTTAGGGTTTAGGGTTCCGGTATAGGATTCAGGGTTGAATTAGGGTTTAGGGTGTAGGGTTTTTAGGGTTTACGAGTTTCTCCGGCGGGCCAGGTATCTGCCGCAGACTGCTGTGCCGCAGGCTGGCTGGGAGAAGGATTTTGGTCCTACTTGGAAGCCACTTTTGACTTAGTAGGAAGGGATAGTTGGGATGTTCCCTTATACTAACAGTCCACACTGGGGATTATGATCGGGGAAGGGGGGGGGGGGGGGGGGGGGTACCAGATTCCCTTTTAATGACTGTTAGTATGAGGGGGAACATCCCAAAGGGATAGCAAGGTGGGTTATGGAGGATTCAAGTAGGACTCACAGTCGGCCCGCAATTGCTTCATAAACCCCATTACGCAACAGCAGGGATACCCTTTATGCGCCCAGTTTTTTCTGTTCAAATGGGGTCTAGGGTCTAGTGGTGGTTTATGGCGCATGTCTTCGAGATGCCTGGGCTTGCCTTAGTGGCTGACTGAGGCCTCTGTCTTGGGTTGTTGAAGCTCGAGGTGTTTGAGGTTTGAAACCCTACATAAGCCCTAAACCCAAAACCCTTAACTAACCTTGATGTTGAGGCTTCTGAGATGTTCCTGCAGGTTTAGGGTCTCTAGGATCCCGACGTCGGAAGTAAACCCTGAGCCCTGAACTTCCCTCTACTCTGTTTTTTGTTTGAGCTTCAGGCAGAGGGTAATGAGGTGCTGGTTGCCTTGCTCTTTGGGTTTAGGTTTAGGGTTTAGGGCTTAGGATGCATGATGTAGGGGTGTGGACTTTCGGGTCTTAGTGTTTAGGATTCAGGGTTTAGGGTTTAGGGTTTAGGGAAGGTTCTTCCACGCTTGTGCAGCTCTCTCTGCCGGTTGACTGGTAGGCACCTTACTTCTTCTTAGTATCGAGAGTCTATGACGAGCTGGGAACACCAGATCGACGAACCCCCACGCCTGCGATTCTTTATGCTAAGCTAACCGGGTTTAGGGTTTGGGGTGTTTGGGGTGTTTAGGGTGTTTAGGGCGTTTAGGGTGTAGGTTTATAAGACTGCTAAGAGTTCATCCATCCCACCTACTGGCAGCTGCTGTTGAACCTCTCTTCGGCCTCGCTGCACACCGGCTTGTTCAGCCTGATCAGAAGAGCCAATGAATCCTAAACCCTAAACCCTAAACCCTAAACCCTAAACCCTAAACCCTAAGCCCCCAGAAGCCTCGAAGCTTCCTTGGGAGGCTCCACCTGTAGCGGCCAATGCGCCGGGTGCACCGACTCTCGTCAGAGAAAGGGTGTCTACATGGTTCTTTAAGAGGAACTTGTTGTGATGGTTTTGAGTACACTCAAGCGTTCTTTTGTTTGAGTCTGTTTCATCTTCTAGTTTTTGGCTCAACCCTAAAACCCAGTAAATTCTTCTCAGGCAACGGCAGTCCCGGGCCTCAGCCCTATACCCTAAAGCCAAGCCTGTCTCAGCCCTGAACGCCAAAGGATATGCGTGCCCAGCCCCGCCGACGGGGGCGTGCCAGCCCCCGTGGGGGTTGCCGTGCCTCCGGCCGGTGTCCCTGTGCCTTGGCGCGGGGACTTTCGGGTTCGAGGGTCTATGGGATGTTGGGTTTAAGGGTTTAGGGTTTAGGGTTTAGGGTTTAGGGTTTAGGGTCCCAAACCCACCTGGATCCTAAACCCTAAGCCCTACACCCTACGGCTTGGGGCTTCCAGGCTACGGACCAGCAACTTGGGATGCCGTCGCTCAGGACTGTGGGACGACTTCGAACTGTTACTACTATTATTGTTATTGTCATTACCGTGATTACTTTAAAGTACTTAGGTTACTTAAGTTCCAAACGTCAGGTTTTTCTTAGTTTGGGGCTTGCAAGGGCTTGTTCAGGTTGAGGTGCGCAGGTCGGTAGGATGAACCTTCTCTATGGGAGTTTCCAGCTGGGCCCCATTCATTCACGGCTCGGGGGGCTCACTCCGTAGAGTAGAGACATGCAAGGCGGCCCCAAAAAACAGAACTCGGCCCTGAACATTAAATATCCCGAAGCCCAGGTGCCGCCTGGCGTGCCCTTAGCAGCCCCCGCGGCACCGCCCGTCGCAGCGGCCGCGCCCAGAACTCGGACCTCTCAAAAAGTGTTAGCTTGGGGGTTTCGAGGCCTAAAGAGAGGTTTAGGGGTTTAGACTCCCAACTGCTGCGTTTTTTGCTCGAGAGTGTTCCGGGGCGTCGCTGCGTTTGGGCTGTCCACATGGGGAGTCAGCATGAGAAGCAAGGACTAGGAACCTGTTCGGAAGAAGTCGGGGGCAGCAGTTACAAAACGCAATTTGCCACATGCATCGTGCGCGGCCTGAGTAGAGCAAATGTCGCCCTACTACGCGCAACGCTTTTGAGTATCCCAATCTGAGCTACCCCGACTTCAGTCGATCGATTTGTAGCAGATGCCTCGCTGAATGATCTGTTTCATGCTTGTCTGGCACCACTTTTCCTTGCACACAGAGGTGATTGCAAGGACCCTGACGCACCCCAGCCCCCCCCCCCCCCTGTTGCACTCTGGATCTTTGACGTTTGCAACCGAAACCCTAAACCTGAACCCTTCAGCGTTTGAAAGCAAATGGGTGCAGCGAGGCTCAGGGTCTTTTGGGCTTATATAAGGGATGCAGGGTGTAAAGGTTTAGCTTTTGAGCTTTGCACCCTAAAACGTAGCGGGCTCCGGCTTTCGCAGTTCGGAGCCATGTTCGAATCGAGAGCCGAAGCCCTCGACCCTAGGGTTGAAAGGGTTCAGGGCCTATTGAAGTTTCGGGGGTTTAGGGCTTAGGGTTTAGGGTTTAGGGTTTAGGGTTTAGGGTTTAGGGTTCGGGGTTCCCCCGAGCCCAGGCCGGGAATCCCTATGCCCCCTGCCGCGCCGGCGGGTGCGCCAAGCCTTCCGGCCATCCGGCCAGGGGGTGGCTGGGCACCGCCACCTGCACAGGCGCCACAGGCGCCTTAGGTTTAGGGTTTAGGGTTTAGGGTTTAGGGTTTAGGGTTTCGGTGTTTAGGGTTTCGGTGTTTTGGCGCTGGGGGTTTGGAGGGTTTAGGGTTGGGGTTCGTTGCTTAGTTTTCTCCCTCGCATTCTAAGTACTGGTTGGTTTTGAGGAAGTTTTGGTTTCGGTTTAGGGAGCCCTGAACCCTACATCCATCAGGTATCTTCAGGATCCCAGGCAGATGGGATCTTCCCAGCCGATTTTGAGGGTGGTGCTTAGAAGTGGTGCTTGTGTGGGCTCTTAAGTTAACTACTCGTAGGATGATTCAACGTCTAGGGTTCTTGACATGTTTGCCAGGTTGCTGTCTTTGTGTTTCAACCTGTTGTGCTTTTAGCCCTTGGGTTTAGGGTTTTGGTTTTAGGGTTTAGGGTCCAAGAATACCACGGTGTCCCTTCGGGACTCGATTGTGCCTGCAGGCACAGCACTATCCATTCTTGTGACCCGAAACAGACCAATCCTGAAACTCAATCCCCAAAGCCAAAACCCCAACCCCAAAAGCCTACACCCTCTAAGCCCCAAACCCAAATCCCCAAACCTATTGCCCAGGCGCCGGGGGTGCTCCCGCCCACTTCACCTCCCCAGTCCCCTCGCAGCATGAGGGGTTTAGGGTTCAGGGTTTAGGCTTTATACCCTAATCACTAAACCCTAAACCCTGACCCTCTAGGGTTGGGGACTTCTGGGGCCCTCAGGGCTTCCAGTGGTTTTTGCAGGGCTTCAGGTTTGCAGAGTCAATAGGGTTTATGTTCAGGTGGTTTAGGGTTTAGGGTTTAGGGTTTAGGGTTGAGGGTTGAGGGCTTGTTGGATTGGAGGGGTTCAGGGTTTGGGCTTTGTGCGGGGGGGTGTGGGGCCTAGTAGCTTGACACGGAGCATGGTCTAGAGCTTCTAGGGAACAGAAGTACCCCCACCTCCAAGCCCCTCAACCCTCCACCCTCCTCATATCGGCCTTTTGGTCGCCCCCTCCTGGTCAGGCGGCTAGGGCAGCACTAAAACCGTGTTGCTGAGGCAGCGCCCCAACTCTAAACCCCGAGCCCTGAATCCCCAAGCAAATCCCCCAAACCATGCATTTTGGGCAATAGGCTTGAGGCTTTTGCAGCCCTGCGCAACTTGCAGCCGTTTTCAGCACGAGCACCCAAAGTACGCTCACCCACAACACGTGCTGCGACTTGATCCGCTCTGCCCATGGCGTTTCGGTACCTTGGCCCGAATTGCGAGCCAGGTCTTCGGCGAACTTAGGGGTAGGCAATTTCCATTTTCTGCATAGAGCACAAGGAAACCGCAACCTACAATCTTCATTCAGGCCTGGCCGATTTTTTCCTTCTGACACCCTATGCCCCTATGCCCTAAATCCGTGTGGCTCGTCTTCCAGGTACAAGAACACATTCATCGATGAGTGCTCCCCGGTAAATGCGGTATCTTGGACCACGCTTCGGGGCAATACCATGGAGTAGCGGAGTGAACACCCTAAACCCTAAGCCCTAAGCCCTAGACCCTAGACCCTCGACCCTAGACCCTAAACCCTAAACCCTAAACCCTAAACCCTAAACAATCAGAGGGGAATATGGTGATGAGACTCCACTTCTCCACCCACGCTTAACCACCAGGAGGAAGTTGAGGCTTCTGAGCTTCACTACTGTTTGCTTAAGAAAAAACAACCTATATTGCCCTTCTAAGGAAGAAATGATTCTTTGTGTTTTTTGGGGGGTTGCTAAGCAAATAGTAGTTCAGCATTTCGTGTTTTTTGCTGCAGATCGAGCTCGGCGTGGAAAGTTTTTGTTTTTTTTTCTCCTGGCCCCTCTCGCCAGCTCCAAGTACCTGAGAACATTGTCCTATTGGGTCGTCCAAAGCCCCAAACCAAAAACCCCAAACCCTGGGAGTGTAAGGGGCATCGCTCGAACAGCTGCCCACCTGCCGGTGGCCTCGCGGCAATCTTGCAGGGTTTTAGGGTTCGCACTTGCATGTGTAAGGGTCAGGAGTCGTCAGGTAAACGGGTATGTATTGTCTGATATGGTATCAACCCTTAACCCTCAACCCTAAACCTTAAACCCCTTGTGTTATGGCATGATTCGGGCCCCTAGCCCTAGTCCAAACAAAGCCGAAGTCCTCCCTCTGAGTTCCAATGAATCATCCAATACAAGCAGGGCATTAAGGTCGGGAAATCCTAACCCTAAACCCTAAACCCTAAACCCCTAAACCCTAAACCCTGGATCCTAAACTGGCAATGGTAGTTGATCCACAAGTTAAGGGTTGAGGGTTAAGGAAGCTGTGATAGCAGCGCATGGCCTTTATAGAGGACCCTAAACCCTAACCCTTGGAGTTTAGGGTTTAGGACTTTATATGCAACATTTTAATCTCAACCCCGAGCTGCAGGCCCCTTGGAAGTCCCACATGTCCCACAACCTCCATGGAACCCTTCCATTCGCAGCTTCGACGCCTTCACCTCCTCCAACGCCTCACCTTGAACCCTCAAACTTGCAGGTGGTTCAGTGAAACCCTAAACCCTCCACCCTAGACTGCTATAAAAGGATTGCCCTTTGGATCCGCTTCACTGCAACACCTCCAGCATGCGGGTATGAGTGGGACCCTAAACCCGAATCTTACTCGGATCAAGGGGCTTGGGGATTCCAGTCTTTTGAGGGACTCCTTGCTTTCTAGGAGCCAGCAATCCTTGAGGCTCGAGGGACACAGACTGGGTCCCCGACATCACGCAGGCTGGTCTCATTTTGGGCTTAGGGTTGTTCGCTGTCAGTTGGTTTTAGGGACACAAAGCTCTGATGAAAAAGGCTGGTTTGAAGGTTTGAGGGCTTAGGATTTGGGCCGAAGGGCTTGGAGGTTCGGTCTACGGCTTCCCGGCTCTTTGTGCGGCTGGCTTTCTTGGGGTCTAGGTGCGCATCTAACCACACAAAAACAGCCAGCCCGAAATGGGGGTTTCCGAAAATGGCGGTAACCCTCTTCGGAGTTCCTTCAAAAGGATGATGTCGTATTTTTGGGTAGATAAGGATACCCCTACTTTCGGAAATCCCCAAATGTTAACACGAGGCCTGCCCCCCGCATGTGACCTACCTTCAGAGAACATGACGATGAAGCAAGCGTTGCGCCGGAGTAGGGTTTAGGGTTTAGGGGGTTTAGGGTTCAGGGTTTTAGGGTTGTATGGGCTTTAAAATTGATCCATTGCCACGACCCGGCCCTCAATATGTGCAGTGCTAAGTGGCATTTGCCACTTCTGTTTTTTTACCGACACTTCGAAACCACAGCTCCCAGGCCATTTGTTGAAGCGGCTTACCCGAGGCGACAAAAACTCTACAAGCCTACGTGACTGGTTTACCTTGCGACTCGGCAGACGTTTACCAGAATGTTCAGGGTTGGGGCTCGGCGTTGAACGCTCTTCGCCCATGTCGTGGAGGAAAGCAGATTTCCTTCATCCATGGTGTTCCTAAGCCAGAAAACCTAAACGAGCCCCACACATCAAAATGCCTGACGTGCGACTGCCTGCTTTGCGCGGGTGCACCAAGCCTGACGGCTAAACTCAGAGCTTTGCAGCTCAGGTACTGCTGCAGCACTGGCACCGCTTCCGAATGAGGAGATGAGAAGCGCGGGTTTAAAGGGCTGAAGTTACCCCCTAACTCACAAAGCCTAAGTTCTACATATTTCCGGGTACTCTTTCATTAGGGGATGCGCCCGGCGTTGTTCTGGACTGCTGAACCGTTTAGACAGGAAAGACGCACTGCTCTAAGGTTAGGCTTCGGGTAGGCTCCTTGTAAGGCGCCCCTGCGTAGATTCTCATGCTGGCGACAAAGTGGCATGTAAGCAGAGAGGAGGGGAAAGAAGTGCAGCGACAGCAAGCGACGTCGCCACAGACCCGTGTCAAATCGCAACCTCGTGAAGCTCAAGTTCCACTGGGTGCTGCGACTAAGGGAAGAACGCAAAGCAACAAGACAGCTGCACCCGCACTTATACCCCTCCAAACCCCAAGACTTTGTCATAGTTGGGTATCATTTTACATTTTAAGGGTACTTAAAACCCTATAAGGAAGAACATTGTATTATCCCAGCCATGCCAGGTATGGTGCCGGGAGCTCCCAAATCAAGTGCTGTACAGGGACCTTGAACTCTCAACCCTCAACTTGCGCAGGCGGTGTTTTCACGTGTGCATGCTCCCCGTCTCACCACTGCATGGTGATATCCGCCACACACCTGTGAAACGGAGCAGGTCCCGTTTTGAAGCCTTAAGTACCCCAGGAGACAGACGCCCCACAAGCCTACGTGACTGGTTTGCCTTGCGACTCGGCAGACGTGGCACTGCCCCGTCAGGGCGTTTTCCTATGAACTTCAGGGCTGGGGGTGTTGAACGCTCTTCAAGTCAAGGATGCCTATCTCGTGGAGGAGTTCAGGTTTCCTTCATCCATCCTCATCCATGGAGTCCCTAAACCATAAAAGTCTAAAGTGAGCCCTACGCATCAACATGCCTGACGTGCGACTGCCTGCTTTGCGTTGTGCGCTTTGTTTGTCAGGTGTGTGGCTGGGTCGTGCCGCAAGTAGACAAACACATGGGGCACAACAAATGCAATCCAGAGACCGAAAAACCTAAACTCAGAGCTTTTAAGCTCAGGTGCTCCTGCAGAAGTGGAACCGAGTCCGAGTGAGGAGAAGTGGTGGTTTAAAGGGTTGGAGCATCCCGTGGCCCATAGTCTTGTCACAAACCCTAAGCCATTTTGTTGACGGCATGTTCTTTCAATAAGGGGTGGAGTTACGTGGTTTAGGGTTTAGGGTTTAGGGTTTCGGGTTAGGGTTGAGGGTTTAGGGTTTAGGGTTCAAGGAGGGCTTAGGGGCCCTTGTACGATTCCCCTTCTTGGCGTTTAGCTTTCGCGTAGCCGTCGGCCCATTGGTCGATACACGTGTGGCTTCAGAGCGCAAAGGTTTAGGGTTTAGGGTTTAGGGTTTAGGGTTTAGGGTTTAGGGATTAGGGTTTAGGGTTTAGGGTTTAGGGTTAGCCCTATGAAGTCTGTGACCCCAAACGCAGCAAGGACACTGTAGCTGATCTTCGCAGAGCAAGGTTTGGGCTTGATCCCAGGACCTCGCACCTGAAGAGCTGGGCGCTGCTGCGCAAGCCGCTGCGACGCAGCAACCTGCGGACCTGAGTTTTCAAAACCCTTCCAAAAAAAGCTAAAGCCTGAAGCATAAGTCCTAAACCCTAAACCCGAAACCCTAAACCCTAAACCCTAAACCCTTGCTGGACAGCTCTCGGTCGGACCTTAAAACCCCGACCCCCGTACCCCCAAACCTGAGGGCTGAGAAGTGCCGGCTGTTAGGATTGTGAGAGTTTTAGGATGTAGGGTTTAGGGTTTTGGCTTTGGACAGAAGCCATGCAGACCCCTTGTAACTTAGGCAATCCAAGGGCCTCCTTCCCACTCTTCCAAGATCGCCAACAAGGCACATGCCCAGAGAGCCCACTACCCCTTGATTGAGGAATATACCTTAAGTTATGAAGGGATCCTTGTTATGATTTAAGGAATATTCCTCAGTTATATAAGGGGTACTGGGCCCTTTGGGTAGGACTTCCACAGAGCCCCAGCAGCCTCGCGAGCACCCCTCGGAGCCCAACGCCCCAAACCCTAAATCCTAAACCCTAAACCCTAAACCCTAAACCCTAAACCCTAAACCCTAAACCCTAAACCCTACACACTCTAAACCCTACACACTCTAAACCCTAAACCCGCAACCCTAAACGCTAACCGCTAAACGCTCTCAAGCCTAAGCCCCCTGAACCCTAAACCCATATGAAAGCCTTCCAAAGCCCTCTCAAGCCCTCTGCATCCCTCTGCTGACACCTCGAAGCTCATGTACTTGCAGGCTCGTGGAACTTATAACCCAATGAGTACTTATAACCCCATTTTTACCCAATCATACCGGTACTTATAACCCAATTATAGCTGTACTTCTGGCCCACTTAGAAGCGCCCTGACATGCTTACACTTGGGTTATCAGTACAGCTATAAGTGGGTCCCTAACCCCTACACCCTACACCCTACACCCTAAACCCTAAACCCTAAACCCTAAACCCTAAACCCGCCCCTTTCCAAAGGAGATACGCGAGCCGCTGGCCCATTGCAATCCTGGAAGTCGGGGGCACCCCGCGCTCTGCAAGAGGCCATTAAAGAACAGGGTTTAGGGTTTAGGGTTTAGGGTTTAGGGTTTAGGGTTTAGGGACCCTTGGGGCTGAAAACTAAGCACCCTAAGCCCTAAACCTCAAATCCCAAGCCCTAAACCCTGAACCCTAAACCGGTTTGGGGTTTAGGGTTTAGGGTTACAGCACGCTGACTTTCATCCCCCCAAGAAGGACTTTCCCCCTGCAGAATGTCTACATTTTAGACTTTACAAGGGAAGTATAGGGTTTAGGGGGTTCAGGGTTCTGAAGGTCTCTTGTGGGTCTTAGTTAAACACACAGCACCCTGAAACCGAAATCTCTCAGCTTCATTTTGTTTTCGGATTTCGGGCCGTGGATGAATCTCGGTTTGAGGAGCTTACTCAGAATATACGATGACGGGTTCAAGGGGGGCCAACCTCGAAGACGGCGGGGCCCTCGATCCCGTGCTGGTCTTGGTTCTTTGAAACTGAGCTACACGCGCCTCAACCCGAAAAACCCCTAAATCTTGGGATGTTCCTTATTCTAACAGTCCTTAGTAGGGATTACACTAATATACTCGGTGGTACGATAATCCCCATTAAGGACTGTTAGTATCAGGGGGAAAATCCCAACCTGAACCATAAAACTCAGCCCAGGCCGTGTGTGTACATCAGCACGCAGGGGGTTTGCCAACTGGGCGATGCATGCGAATATTGCCACTCGACAGTTTCAGCCCAAAACACCAAAAGGAGCAAACCTCTGCGCAGTCCCTACACCCTCAATTTCCGGAATTCCGTGTCTGAAACTCCCTAAACCCTAAACTAAACTACAAGTTTCGCCCTAAAACCTCAGCCCCAAAACCTCAACCCTAAACCCTAAACTCCAAAACGAAAGAGACGTGAGCGTTGCCGTTTCCCCACCCCCCCACCACCCCCCAACCCCCAACCCCCCCATTCCATATATGGTCCAGGCTGCCACGCCCCCCCCCCCCCCCCTGCGGTGTGGGTGTTGTTGGGGGGTTAGGGTTTAAGGTTTAAGGGTTAGGGACCACCCCCGCGCCCCCCCTGTGGTGTGGGTGTGGTTGTGGGTTAGAGTTTACGGTTTAATACCCCCGCGCCCCCCCTGTGGTGTGGGTGTGGTTGGGGCTTCAGGGTTTAAGGTTTAATAACCCGGCGCCCCCCTGTGGTGTGGGTGTGGTTGGGGCTTCAGGGTTTAAGGTTTAATAACCCCTTTGCTGTGGTGTGGGTGTGGTTGCTGGTACCTTATTGGGGTCCTTATGATAGGGAATCCTACTACAGACTACAGGGTCTATTTTAGGGTCCCTTATGTTCGTAAACTCCCAAATCTTTGTCTTGCTCTGGGTAACCCCAATGAATGTAGGCAACTGCCATGCGGCCGAGGCCACTTCCAGCACAGGAAGGTGAAATCCTTGGACAAGCGCCAGAGGGACTCCGTCTGAAGCCTCTAACGCTTCCTCAAACCCCTTTCCCCATGCGCCTAAACCCTTGGCCCTGATCTCTGAGCCCCCTCGACCCAAGCCCGAGACCCTACACCCTGAGCGCAGAATCCTTTCACCTTGAACCCAACACCCCTCAGCTTAATCTTAAAAGGAATCCCAAGTTCCTTGGACGCTCACACACGACCCCTCCAGCCGGAAGCCTAAAGCCCTAAACCCTAAGCTCTACATGACTTTTGGCAGGTTGTTGGTCTCCCAAGTCTGCAGGTTGGATGCTTTCCGGGAAGACAAACGGCCTTAGGTTTGCATGTTTAGGGTTTAAGATTTAGGGTTGAGGGTTTAGTTTTTAGTGTTTAGAGACCCCCTTAAATTAAAGCCCTAAGGGAACTAGATTAGGCTTGGTAGCCCGGTCCCTTTTTTTTTCACGGTTCCCTTTTTAAATCAACCAACCCAAAAAAGGTGCCATTCTTCGAACTTGGTTGCTGGGCTACCAAGTAGGTGGGCAGACCAAGCCACCCTGACTCAGACTTTCCCAACTGGTGGGGTTAGGTCAATCCTGACCTGTCTGTGTCGACCTTGTGGGTCAGGCCTCTGACCTGTCTGTGTCAACCCATGTGGGTTAGGTCAATCCTGACCTGTCAGTGTCGAGCTAGGGCTTGGGATGCTTTTGCTAGATCCGAGACCCCAAGCCCTGACCTTGCAAGCCTGGCCGTTTGTCTACGGCTCTGGAGATGTGCATGCCGTTCTTGTGGAATCCAGCAGAATCCCCGACAAATTCGTCGGTTTAGGGTAAGTTTTTTTAGATGGTCCCCAAACCCTAAACCCTAAACCCTAAACCCTAAACCCTAAACCCTAAACCCTAAACCCTAAACCCTAAACCCTAAACCCTAAACCCTAAACAACAAAAAACCTAAACCCACTAAACCCAGGACCTCTGGACCACGGGGCTCCTGAAGCCCGAAACCGAAAACCCGAAGTCCCCCCACCCCCCCCACCCCCCCCCCCAGTTTAGCGTTTAGGGTTTAAGATTCCCCCTGCCCACATTAGTTTTATGGGTTTTTGCGTATCCTCTATATACAGGGACGCGGTCTGGTGTAGTTATGGTAGTAGTGCCTCAGCCGAGACCAAAGAATCCTTCAGCTTCTTTGCTTACATGACAAAGCCGTTTCTTCCCACATCAGGATCCCCAGGCGAGGAACTTCCTATAATGGCGGGTAACCCTTGGCAATAGGGGTGACCTCTTCAATTTTTCCGGAACTTCCGATAATAGCCGCTAACGAAGCTTGAGCAGGTGCAACATTAAGGAGTATACCTTATATTAATATAGGGATCCTGATATGATTTAGGTTGTATTCCTTAAGGGGTATGGGGCTCTTTGGGTTAACTCGCTTCCACCTTCGGTCCTGGCCGTGGATGACCCTTCCGATTGTTGGGGCCCTTAGGACCTGAAACCCTAAACCCTAAACCCGGGGTGTAGGGTTCGGCCTAAACCCCCTTAGGCCCCAAACCCCAAACCCCAACCCCCCCATAGGGTTTAGGGTTTAGGGTTTAGGGTTTGGGCCATAACCCTAAACCGTGAGCCTTGGGCTGGACATGGCAAGAACGGCCGATTCGTTCCAAATATTCTGTTGGGGAGCTGCTCCCATACTGAAGTCAGATCTTCTGGTTCGGAAGAGGTCAGAGTCAGGAAGGGCCTTGCTAATCTGCGTAGGAAAACGTCGCCAGAGAGCCAGACCCTGGTCCCTGAAAAACCGTTAGCCGGCAAGGCCCAATAAACCCAGCAAGGTGGTGTTGCCTGACTTGCACCTCAGAGACCCTCTTCTCATCATCATCCTAATGTAGGAGCCTCGCCCTGAACCCCCAACCCTAAACCCTCCCCAAACCCCTTTCGAAGGCATTGGCACCCGAAGAGGTTTAGGTTTAGTGGTTTCGGGTTTTTGGGTTTCAGCGTTCCCCCCCTCCCCAAAGTTTGCCAAAGCCAACAGCAAGAGGAGTAGTTGAAAATGCTGTTGATGCCCTTGCGCCTTTGAATCCTTCCTGCCAATGTTGTCGTGTGAGTCCGAAAAGGACAATTTCAATGCTGGGTTCCGGCAAAAAGTCAGGAAGGCCTTTCCCAATCAAAACCCACGGACTGCATGGGAAAGCGTCGCTGCAGGGCCAGACCCTGGGCCCTGAAAAACCGTTAGCCGACAAGGCCCATTAAACCCAGCAAGGTGGTGTTGCCTGACTTGCACCTTAGAGACCCTCTTCTCATCATCCTATTGGGGGAGCCTCGCCCTGAACCCCCAACCCTAAACCCTCCCCAAACCCCTTTCGAAGGCCTCGGTGCCCGAGGGGTTTCGGGTTTCAGCGTTTCAGCCTTCCCTCCCCCTCCCCCCCCCGCAAAGTTTGCCAAAGCCAACAGCCAGGGCAGTACATGAAGCCGTCATTCCGAAAACCCCAAGCAAAGCTGTTGATGTCCTTACGCCTTTGAATCCTTCCTGCCAATGCTGTCGTGAGGCCACGGCCTCCAAAGTATTTACATAAGTCTTGTACAGATGCGAGCGGAGCCTCCCAAGGCCCTTGGTCGGGTTTTCGGGTTTAGGGTTCACCCTAAGTAGGGCCCAAGGGGGGTTCTGCTCACAAACAGATCAGTCTCCATACCCAATAAAAAATCGTTGGCCCTTTTTGTCTGGACGTCTTCCTTCCAATGACCGCAAAGATGTGCGCGTCGGAGAATACCACGCAGACAGGGTAAGGCCGCTTTCATTGCAAGTGACCTGCGGTCCTTGTCTGGCCAGGCATGTCGTGAGGTGGCACAGTGCCGCATCTATGAAAGAGGAATGGGCAGAAACATGTCCGGGGATCAGTGGCCGGGTTTCAATGGCTTACTTGGAGGTTCATAGTACTTATGACTCAGTGGTAACCGTACATATACCCCACTTATCAGCCCCTTATGTGCCTTAACATGGATAAGTACAGTGATCATTGGGTTAAGAAGTACCATGAACCTCCAAGTAGACCCCTATTCCGAAACTGGGAATCCTTGAATGCAAGGGTTGGGGGGAGAGGGGGGTGGAGCATGTTTAAGTAGGGCTGCCCTGTGTGGTAGTTCTAGGATTTGTGCGGCTGAAAGGGTTTAAGGGTTTATATGGGGGGGCGTGTGCCCCTCCCGAACCATCACACATCCAGACTGCGCCGGCGTCGTTCTCAACAAAACCACGATCATGGCGACCCCAACTAAGCACTTTAGACAACGATAGCCCAGTTCCCTGAATCATGGCCACTGTTCGGGCACGGTATCCTCTAGGTTCGAGCGGCCGTGTTCTGACAGGGACACCCCCATTGACCGTACTTCATGAATAGACCCTGCCTCCATATTCGCAAGGCCTACCACTTCTATCTGCTCGTATCCTCGTATGGGGGGCGTACACAAAATCTGACAGTTGTACCCCAAACCCTAAACCCTAAACCCTAAACCCTAAACCCTAAACCCTAAACCCTTCACCCATGAAACACAGAGCAGACCCGAGTCTTCAGAACAACTGAAGCCCAAGGAGCGCCATACCCCTCGATGAAGGAATAGATCAGAATCGTAAGTTCTAGAGGCATCCTCAAAAAGAATTTAAGGTAGACTCCCCTAAGCCCCTAAACCCTAAACCCTAAACCCTAAACCCATCGACTCCTTACTCTATGGGGGTATTGAGCCGTCTGGGGAGCCCTAAACCCTAAACCCTAAACCCTAAACCCTAAACCCTAAACCCTAAACCCTAAGCCTTAAAAGAGTGACTGCCAAGGAACGGGCTGACCCCTGAGGCCATGGCTCAACTACAGGTGCGCGTCCGTGAGAGACTGTTCTCCTTTTGGATCCTCTGAGCCATGTAGGGTTTGGGGCTTAGGGCTTAGGGCTTAGGACTTAGGGTGTAGGGTTTAGGGTTTAGGGTTTAGGGTTTAGGGTTTAGGGTTTAGGGTTTAGGGTTTAGGGTTTAGGGTTTAGGGTTAGGAACCTTCTGTTCCTGTTGTTGTCCGGGGCAGGTTCCCTTTCAATTTCCCTGGGTGCCCCTCGAACTTTGGGTGGCCCATGTCGTTGGGGGTTGTTCCCACAGTCCCTTCTAGGTAGCTTGTAAACAGGAAAGGACTCCCTGAACAAGAAGACCCCTCCCCAAAAGGCCCTTAGATTGGGTCATGCCTTAGAGCTGGGTTTCCTACTTAGGGCTGTTTTGGGCTTTGTGCTTCGGTCCACGCCACATCTGAAGGATTTAGAGGGTCAGAGGGGTTTATCCCAATCAAGGGCCCCTCTTTTTTTGGTTTGGGGTGGGGTGGATTTTCTAACGATTCCATATCATGTCGGCTTGCGCGCCGCACATGCGGTGTGACGTGGGCTATGGCCGTCTTCTTTTTTACTGTCCTTGTACTCCGTTGGTGAAGGGACCTGTCCGAACAGTGTACACTTCTTTTGGGGCTTATGAACTCAACAACTAAGTGGAAGCTGCGAAGCTTTTAAACCCTAAACCCTAAACCCTGAACCCTGAACCCTGAACCCTGAACCCTGAACCCTAAAGAAGCTTTGCGACAGGCTCAGATCCAGCAGATGGGCTTGGCCGCGGGCATGGGCGCAGGCGCTGAGGCGAGCATGGTTTGCTGGATGCGAAAGAATGGGGTTACCCGGAGAGCCCAATACCCAGCACGGAGTCTACCTTAAATGGATACTAAGCATCCCAATATCATTCAAGGTATATTCCTTAGCTAAGTTATTCAGGGTTGCCGCGAAGTGTCCCTTAGCGCCTGCGCTGAAACAGCACCCCGTAGGGGCTGGTGCCGTGTTAAGTTAGCTCAATTGGACCTGTCCCTTAGACTCACTCTAGGGCCTTGCTCTCTCAAATATTGAAGGAAGTAGGAGGGTCCTTGGAGCTTCACGGCTGTCATGCAAATGCAAGTTAACAGGTTATGATTGAGCATGACATACTGGAAGCTGTCTCGAACCTGTCGCCAATCAGTCGCACGCCGGTCCCACTTTTGAGAGT